TCGTCGGTTCGTCGCGGCTCGCTTTCGCACGGGCTCCGAGAGGAAGTCCATCGCCGCGGTTGCCTCCCGTGACCGAAGGAAAGCAGAATTGCCGGACGACGAAAGGAAGTCGACGAGTGCCAGGTTCTTCCCAGGTTCTATTGTTTTCTTCTGTTCCAGTCTCGTTGGTAGGTGGTAGAATGATATTAAAAGTATAATCGATGGGAGACGGGGGGCTCGCAACGAAGAACGTCATCTGCGAATCGTTACCGAGCCGTTTGCTGGACGTTCCCTGTATTCCTCCATTCGCACGATCAGATGTCACGATGCCGTCGATCTCTCTTCGGCTGGGACACCCTCACGTTTGGGTGGCGAGTTTCCGCGTGGCTCCGGTCTCCCGTCTTTGCAAAGGCATTGAATCTGTGGATCGCAGATTGCAGTGGGAAACGCTCTCGTTAGGACTGGAAGGGGTGCTCCGAGTAGGATGCCGCTTTCAAACGTTACGGGTGTTTGTACTATATATAACGTGGGATTTTTCTTGTTGCTTTATGAGCACCGTGATCTATCCACGTGCTGACGTGCCACGTGGAATCATGGGTGAAATGACCTTCGACAAATGACATCGGCTTGCTCAGTGTCGCATTGCCGTTTCGGCTCTGGGATTTTCCCAAAAACCTTTTCTTCGCCTTTGTTGACACGATGCAGTATTTATACGATCAGGTGCCCAGGACGATCCCGGATCAGGTGAGACCTGCAGGCTTCATGCACACGAGAGTGCCCAAGTAGCTCGCGAACTCTCTCGAGGACGTTCAACGTTTGATAAAAGAAGGTTTTGGACGTCCAATATACACTGATGAGCGGCTTTTGAACGCTGATTTAAAGTGCCCCTTCATCACAAAACACGCTGCAATTGATGGACATTCGTTGAACGTTAAAGATGCGTTTTCCTGAAGCATATTTACGGTGTTCGTCCGAACCAAAGGTTCGCCCAACCGACGCTAGATGACGTCAAAGTAGTCGCTCGCGATCGATTCCTGATCCAATTAGAATTAATCCCCAATACCTTCCACACGGTAGTCGACCTTTCTCAACGTGAACCAGAGGGGAAGACTCTGAAAGTCCCGAACGAATCGGGGAAAATTAGAACGGAAACCATCGTTCCAATGGAGAATCGAGTTAACGGCGCGTTCTGGCTGCAAAAGGACTGCGGCTGATGAAAGTTCCCGTAGCATGACTGCATTACGACGCGCTTCTCCGGCATGCGATCCCAGAAGAGGGAAGATAAGCCGGATTAATCGGCTTACGTGATGGTTGCGATCCCTGCCTCGGGAGCAGGGCTTTACTCGGGCTGCATGCAGTTTTTAGATGTGAAGAACGGATCCAAGATGTTAATTGCATTTTGGGTGAGTCTTCGAAAAGGTAGTTCATTGAACTCTTGGTTTTTTTTGTGGAAATGTCTAATTCTCTTCCTTGATGAATCCACCTCCTTCTGGGAGCGCAAAATTTGAACTGTTTTCGATCGCCCTCAATTTCTGAAAGTTATGCTGTCAGTAAAACGTTCCCAAGGACGTTCATGGAACGATGGCAATACCTTACAGTAAATGAAACATTCATTGAACAAGTTCGGGTTCTACTTGGGGCGTAGTCTCTGAATATCGTGATGACACCTGCCATGACAACAGAGTACTTCGTTTCCTGCGGTCTGCAGTAGGTTTACCAGCCACTAGTTTTTAATAAAATATAAAAAAATCACGCTGGGCTGGGCAGGACAGTTTCGATTATAAAATGGAGCCGCGAGACGCTCCCCCTCCCCCCCTCCCCCCCTCATTTCTTGATGCGCTTTTAATCGAATTGGATACGTACATTCTCATTTATGAGGCTATTCATGCATTACATTCATTTAAAATATATTTATAAGTGGTACATTACTTGACGTGGAACTTCATGGGCACAGTTCTCTAGAAAATGGTTCATCGGAAAACTTCATGAATTCAAAATAAAATATATTCCCATATATTAATACTTACGACTTCCTCGTCAAGGGTCTTATCTTTGCCCTTTGCCTGTCGAGACACAGGGGTGAATGGGCGACAAATAATTTAGTAGGGGGAAATGGTGAGAAGAGAGGCACTCACTTACTACTTCTAATGACTTGGGAAAAAAAACAAAGGAAGAATGAGAAGTTGTATTTTCCAGAATTGTCATGCTCACTTTCCCTACCCCATGCGCAAAAAAAAAAAAAAAAAAAAAAAAAAAACAAAACAAAAATACAAAAATATATNCAAAAAAAAAAAAAAAAAAAAAAAAAAAAAAAAACAGATTTTGCAAAGCAACTTTGATGGAATTCGTAGGAAACGAGATTCTTGTGAGCCGTTCAAGATTCCGTCAGGCAAAATCGGCTGGCAACTCGATTCAATTCTCTGGTCCCGGAACGTATAAAAGAAAATGATTGCATTGGTCCTGGGAGGACTGCAGGATGCGCTTAAAGAAAAGACTGGAATCACCGTAAATGACAATGACAAAACGCCAGCCTGAAAAAATGCGTGGAATGAAGAGCCCGCACGAGCCGGCAGAGGGAGGAGGAGGCACGGCATCGAGATAGCGGGACAGGCGCGAGGGACAAAGGGAAAGAGAGGGAAAGAGAAAGGAGGTTTCGCGGAACTGCGGTCCTTCCTTCCTATTCGCAGTTTCCATCGAGGCTTCGCATAGTGCGGCGCGCTTCCGTCCTGCCCTCGCCACGATCACACAGGTGTTGTCTTTTCTCTGCATTGCACGGTAAGCCGCCGAACCGGGCTCGAAACTCTCCCCACCGTCATTTCGCTCCCTCATCTCTTCTGTTGATATTGAGCATCACAAGGGAGACGTAGGCGCAGTCATTACTAAATTATCTCGAATACGCTGACGAGCTGTTTTTACCAAATTCGAGCGCGAGTCACGTCAGAGTCGCTTGCAATACCTCAGCAATGAGGAGAGCGGGGGAGCGACGAATTGTCTTTCAGACGCTTTAGGCATCGTTCATGGGGAGTCTTGAATACTGCTCCTCAATAAATATTGCGAATCGATATTACCTGCCAGATATGAACTTATGGTATTATAGCATGTGCTGAATTACCTGAATAAACTGATTTGATTTGTGTTTGATATTACCTGCCGCAAGGATGCCTGATCCTCAGTTCCGCTTCGCAGCAGAAGCTTATCAACTGCGAAAATGTGCATGCATCACCTGCGTTCGTTCACCTTTATTATTATCGATAATAGATATTCTCAAGGATAGATAGTGGGGACGCACGGGAGTCTGCGAACCAGCGCAGCAATCGGTGACGAGTCACGATCCGAGCGCGACTGGTGCCCGAAACCTCGCAAGAACCAAAACCCGACCGAACGAGGACGAGCCCTTTCTAAATATGCACGATGCCATTCGAGGATCCCTGGGAACCCTTCAACCGAAGGAAGCACGTGCCTGATGGAGGCGGATGGCACACGTCACGCAGGCGATACGGCCAGAGCCGCCTCTCGCATTCCCCCAACCGGCTCGAACGACCACGCCCCGGTCTCGTTCATCCGCCGGCCTTTTACTGATTTCCCCGCGATTTGCTCCCCGTCTCGGTTCTTCTTCGCCTCGTCGTGGGAATAGGTCTTTCCCTTCCGAATCTGTTGCGATTCGAGTCGGGTGAGAGCGATACCGAGAAGTTCGACGACATGCATGAGTTTCTTAAGCAATCATCTGAGAAGTTCATGAAAATAATTTCCTTTTTTCGTCATCAGTAAGTAAATACGTCCTCGTAATTTCATCAGTAACATGAAACGTAAGAAACCGGTTCCTCTCATACACTTAGCATTCGAAATACGTTTACCGAGAAGGGCTTATAGCTTAGTTTCATTTTCCATGCAATTTGAACTTGCACAAACTCTGGATTCCAACTTATCGCGTGTGTGTGGAAGAGCGTTTTACTTCATCCAGGCCAATCATTGGATTACTGGGAGACTTGATCTCGTATAGTTCCAGCTGATAATCATCGAACTGGGATTTCATAATCATTATTAACCTCGACTGCACACTCTTTTAAGAGCGCCACACCTCCGATATAAAGAAAAATAGCAAACATTAATTTCTACTTTTATTTTATTGCACGTTTGTATAAGCTTATCATGCAAACTTTACATGCAGTTGTGGTAATGTTGGTGTGGAGTCCTACTCGTTCAAAGCAGCCGCTAATTTTTGCAAACTTGACAGACGGAATTTCCGGGGGCAGAAGGATTGCAAATTTCACGCAAACTGGTGCGTCGTGCCTAGTCAAGAAATTCGCAAAGCGGATAAAACCGGCTTAAAATCACAAGAGGAGAACGTGAAAAATCCCTGAGCGATGAGGAAAAAAAAAAAGGGAGTGGAAGCGAAAGGGATCGAGGAATCGCATTGTATTCCCAAGGTCGAGGCCACGTGCACATCCTGCATGGAACAGCCGATAAGCAGAATATGCAGACATCCGATTCCTAATCAGTTATCGGCATCTAAAAATGCCCCCTCCCTGATCGTGCACATAAGGCCCCTGTGTTGGTAAAATTTCTGAGGGATTTTTAAATTTTAAAATTTTTAAAACGAAAATTCAGCTTTCGTGGAAAGGTCAACTTGCGTACGACACATAAATACCATTCGAGGGATGGATGTTGCATGCCACAAAAACGATGTCAGAATAATGTGAGAAATATTGAGGAATTTTTAATAGAAAATGTCAAGAGAAGTACCAATCCACTACGAAAGAACACTCTGCCCGGTTTGATTTGTGCGAAAGTACGGAGTCCTTTAAAGCCTGTGTGTGTTAAATAGGACACGGTTTCGCAAAGAGTTCTTTGTCCGACGCGAACAATCGAGAGCTTTTATGCCCCATTCATCCACGGGATCGAAAAACCGCCCAATTCCACCGACAGATCACGTTCCAACCAGGTCGGCTCCCTTGAAGTCTCCCCCAGGACTTCCATGCCCTCGAGGGCCTGCGTCGGGGAGGTCCAGAGGAAGCGCCCCGATGGAAGACCTCCAATCGGTCGAAGAGTCTGCCGCCAGGCAGCAGTGGAGCGACATCGTCGAATATTGCCGCAAGGTTCGCCGAATTCCCTCTCATTCCCCGTCCAAAGGAGACCACGACTACGTACTGACATTCGCCCATGTTTGTTTCAACCAACAGCATCGGATCCCGTTTGTCGATCCATCATTTCCTCCAGCGGCAAAGTCCCTTTATAAAAAAGTAAGACCAGGATACGACAGAAACGAAGTCGATCGGTGGTTGCGGCCGAACGAGATGGTGACAGAGGTCGATCCCGCTGTAAAATGGGCAGTGTATAGGACTCCTTTACCTTCCGACATCACGCAAGGTCTGTGTATCTATGACTTCGTGCATTTTTATGTGTACCATTCAAATAAAATTAATTTGGCATCACTTCATCTAACTTTTTCCCGACCCTTTCCAGGCATCCTTGGAAACTGCTGGCTCTTGAGCGCCCTGGCCGTCCTGGCCGAACGCAGCGAGCTCGTCGAAAGGATCATGGTGACGAAACAAGTATGTCCCGAAGGGGCTTACCAAGTTCGTTTGTGCAGAGACGGCCGTTGGACCACAGTCCTCATCGATGATCTCTTACCCTGCAATCGACGTAGATATCCGGTGTACTCTCAGGTATCGCTTATTAACTCTGCGCAAGTCGACATCCCATATTTTATCCATCATCATGATGACGGATAAAATATGACGAAGCGTGCCGATCCTGTCGCAGGCAAAAAGGAAGCAGCTGTGGGTCCCATTCATCGAGAAGGCAGTGGCAAAGCTATTCGGTTGTTACGAAGCATTGACCGCAGGGCGTGCAATCGAAGGACTGGCCCTCCTGACCGGGGCTGCATGCGAGTCGCTCTCTCTCCACCCATCCTCGATGCTCTGCGAGGAGACACTGGAGCCCGACCTCATCTGGGCCAAGCTGGCCTCCAGCCGTGAAGCAGGGTTCCTCATAGGCGCTTCGTGCGGCGGAGGGAGCAAGAACGTCAGCGAAGAGGAATATAAGCGGATGGGTTTGAGTTCCAGGTATTTTTCTTGGAATTTACCGTATATGCATTTGCTTGCAATTTTGAAACGAGTGGACCCCGTGAGGACATTTTGCAGCCACGCATATTCCGTGTTGGACGTTCAAATCGTTGGAGGCGAGCGATTGCTTCGCATGAGGAACCCATGGGGTCACTCTTCTTGGAGGGGGGATTGGTCTGATCGCTCTTCAAGATGGACTGCCAATCTCAGAGAAATGTATATGGCCCATGGAGCGGGAGAGGGAGTGTTTTGGATTCCTTTCAAGGATGTTCTCAGGTATAACCGTGGCCTTTTGCTTTTCTCGCTAACCGGTCATCATATTCAGCGGTAGGTCCAGTTTCATTCATTCGTCTCATCAGGTATTTTGACTGCATCGACATATGCAAAGTTCACAATGGCTGGATCGAAGCGCGCTTGGAGGGACTCCTTCCGCCCTGCGCATCTAACACCCATTCTTCCGTCATCATCCTCACCGTGCTCGAGTCCACCGAAGTCGAACTCACCCTCTTTCAAGAGGGATTGAGGTAATTCCTCAACTCGTGCCTCATTCCTATAGGTTACCGCTGTCTGAAATCGGCTGCATGTATTTACTCGTACTTGTAACCTGGTGATCCTTCATGGTTCCATCCCTTTCTCCACTACCTTACCGTGGAACCATTATTCAATTTAATATATATATGTAACTTCTCGGACCGTCTCTCAGCAGACAGCGAAGTGATGAACCCTCATTTTTGTCATGTGCCAGGAATTCATCGAGATCTAATCGATACCAACAGGACCTAAGCATTCTAGTCGTGCGAACCACCACCGAGCGATCGGACCAGCCCGTTTTCGGGAGTTACGTGACTCACGCCGGGGGACACGTTGGGGGTTGTGTCGACTGCCATTCCGTGCTCGAGATTGGCCAGTACCTCGTTTGCCCTATGTCTTACAATCACTGGAATACTGGTATGTTTGCTACTTTATTTTATTTGCCTTAGACAAACTTGCAGACTTAGATTAGTCCCATCATTAGATAACAAATACGAGAATTTCCCCTGGTGGGTTAAACATGGTTAGTGGGCTCAGCATGATGCTTCGTATGAAAAACCATGACGCCTGGTATTCCATAAGAACACCCATATGCACATAGCCTTTGCTCTTTGAATTCTATCATGTTCCAAGCATCTACCGCGTCACTTACTAACGTGATTGATGCACGCGTTTACTGACTTTGGGCAGGTATGGAGGATGCACAGCAGTACCCGAAGTATGTTCTAGCTCTGCACAGTTCACTGCCAGTTTTTGCCGAGAAAGTCACTGCCCCTGCATATCATCATGCGGATGGCATCATTGCACTTACCTTGGCCAAAGGACATAGACGTGAGGTCAGAGGATATTCCTGGAAAAGCCCAAGTTTGTGTCGAAATTCATGGATTGCGATCAGCAAAAATCCTCGTGACGATAGAAAATCGACAGCCCGAGAACTGGGTCCAAGTGATGTGCGATTGCGCGAATAGCTTCGGCGTCGTCTCGACGAGAGGAGAGCTGAAGACGGTTGACTCCGTTCCCCCCTTGCATAGGTACCACCTTCCGCCATATTCGATTCTTTGGAAAATTTTTGGAGAGGCGATATACGTTTCGTGTGGAGGACCTCAGCTTGAACTGAAATACTGTTAATTTTGGACGAAAAGATGTGGAAATGGGAATAATTTGATACGAGTTAGGAAACTAAGGCGAAGAGTCCGGCCTCGCTCCACAGATAGGAGAAGCCATTAATGAGACGACGGATGACAATTGAAAGACTGTGTCCAAAAAGAAAGCAATAATTTAATCTTGGCTCACGGGATATCAGGAAACACAATGTCTTAGGCGCTGAAGATTGGCGATGGTGGGCTTAGAGAAGACAGAATTGAGTGCTTAAATGAAAAGGAGACTTTTAGGCCCCTACCCTAGGCTACCCTTGGGTTACCCTTAGGTTATGAGTAACAGTCGTTGTCCCCTTTTCATTCCAAACCCCCTAGTACAATCAGTTCCTGGGGAGGGTTGCCGAGCCAACAGCCACAACATTCCCCGATTGTGTCGAGAAATAAGCATTTTATTTTCAACCTCTCCATACGTGACGAGGTCATCCAACTTTGTGACATTCCCGGGTACGGGAAGTACACCCAACTTTAAAAGGACAACTAGAATTGAAGTGAAGGACCGGCCACGAACGACTGACTTGAGGACCAGGGCACAAAAGACTGACAGGCGGAAGACGAGAAAACGTGATAGGAAGAAAAGTGCGTCTAAAACACGATGCAATAAATACTTCCACGAAGGCATGCCTGTCATGCGACATTGGCCATGCAGGACGGCTGCTAGCTTATAGTCTTAAGCGCTCAAGGGCTCTATCCCTTCATAGAGATTTTATATTTTAATGTTGGTCATACGAAACATACCTGGAGCTCATGATTCCACGAAAAAGTTACAACCTTTCTTCCATGCATATTTCTTCTCCAGACAGGTGGTGATGGTGCTGACCCAGCTGGAGGGGAGCGGCGGTTACAGAATCTCCTATCAAATGTCTTACTGCATGATGGCAGGCGCAGGACTCCGCGACAGGAGGTTCTCGAGTGCGAACCACCATCCACCCCTGACACATTCCGTGTCCGGCCTCCACATTCCTCGTCCCATCTGACAATTTTTTCTTCCTTTTTTTTCATTGTTGAAATTCTCTTGAAGGCATCGGGTGCCTTGTTCGTTGAGTGCGATACTCATATATACGTATTTTTGTATTGAAAACTTTGAATAATATATATGTCGAGGCCTTGGCAAACATGCACTTTAGTATTGGTGCCGATATGCACACCTAAGCAGACTTTTTGGCTGCAGAAAGCGCTTTTATTCCAATAGCCACGACTTCAGTTAGAAAAAGTGGCTGGTGCCCTGCTCAAAGGGAATTTTTCGACCAGTGTTACGTTTTCGTGGGTCGCCATCGAAACTCAATTAGGACAGACGACTGCCGTTTCATCACGCGATCTTTGAGTAGAAATCTCTCCGTTTTCGCATAAGTGCTGAAAATATGTATTTTTTATGGTTCGGGTAGCTCCCTATGGAAAAAAAATTTCCTCTCGCAAATCCCTGTTGTGCGCGGGGCCAAAATTTCTCCAAAAACACGCCCACTTTCCCTGAAATATCTCCCACTCATTCCTTTGTTATGATTCATTTTTTTTTCATTGATATAGTTGAATTACCATGTTAAGGAATAATGGTGCCTTAGAGGAGAGTCGGCAAGACCCCAAACGCCCTTAGCACGAAAGGATCATTCGACAAAAGCCAAAACTTAGGTTAAACAAAACTAGGTGAAATTTGACATTTTTGTGAAATTAAACGGAGTTTCGCAATTTGAGAAGTACTGACAAATACATTTCCAAACAGTAGGACGTCGGTTGCTCCGCAACCGATCACCGGATGTTGAAGATATAGCATGCGCGATCCTGACTGCTAGTTAGGCCGAGCAACAAATGCGTATTTGTGCGTATGTGTGTGTGTGTGTGTGTGTGCGTAACAACTGCACGGGCTAGAAGCTTCGAGATATGAACTAGGGGATTTAACACGCATCTTCCTCATCATCCGATGATGTGCCTTCCCGAAAGAAATTTAAAGATAGGCACCAAGAGAAGGGAGAAAAGTTGCCAGGAATATCAAAGTTTCGCCCTCGCCTCGCCATCTGCAGGATGAACGATGAAACGAGAGTTGGGGCGGAACTCGCCAAGGGACGCTGGCATCGCCTCTCGCCTGCTGCCTCCATTCCAAGGATTCCGAGCCTCCGTGATGAACTACGTGATGAATTAATGAATTAAATGGCGATCCGTGAGTTCGTCGCCCCTTGCGTTCATACGGGCGCCGCAGACCCATCGCCGCAGTTTCCTCGTGTAGCCTCCAATTTGCTGAATTCCGGAGCGACGACGTTGGGAAGTAAGCGAGATCCCATATTAAAATTTTAAAAATGCTTGTTTTTGGAAATTGGGTCTTTGATTGGATGAATAGACGTTATTGTGCGTCGATGAAAAGCCAAGACTTGAGAAACCGCTGAAATTAGCGAGCATCATTTCACACACCCTTCGCGTGCCAGGGACATCAAAATTTGATGGAAAAAAAAGTTCTAACTGAAAAGCTCAATTGCACGAGAACACGAATATTTAGTTTCTGCATCGATGTTTACGTCTGCGTTGAAATCGTATGCTGACAGTGTCGATGCGAAAGGGGGTTTCCACGGGCCGTCAGCGGAATCCTTGCGTTTTTTTCGCGATGAAAGTGCGAAGCCCGCGAATGAAGAGAGAGAGAGAGAGGAAGAGAGAGAGAATAGGAATCGTGACAATCCGCAGAAAAAACAGAAGGCAAGAAGCTGCTTCAGTCACTCGTCGATCGGTTTAAATGTCATCGTCACGTGTTCGTCCTCTCTCGCCGTCCATCCCTTCGATATCTTCACGTCGCCAGATCTGGCTTCGACACTATCATCACGCATTCCTTCATTGACTCAACGAATTTCCGATACATGTAAACTCTGAAAGCGGGATCCATCGGACACCTCCGGATTAAGTTGTTTCTTCACAACGTGGTGCTGACTTCCACCGACTGCTTCTCCTTTTTCTCCTCTCCTCGTCGCAAATAGTGCACGATGTCACGAAGGAGAACTCTCCACAGCGTATGTTTCAGATACCGCGTTTAATTTTTCAGGCCCATAGCATCGAGACTTCAGAGCAAGAGACTATTTTTGTGGAATACGTTAATCTTAAGCAAGGCTGTTTGAGAGGATGGGGTCACCTTTTGCCTTTGGTCGAGGTGAAGCTAAAATTCCCATCACGATTTAATTCGATTTTCTCGAATTATCAGCAAGGTTTTTTGCCTTCACGTAGTAGACATTAATGCCATGCATCAGCGGAAAAGGTTTTCTATATAATATATATAGGTTTTCTATACACTGTACCAGTAAGGATGTGCTCTTGTCAACCGCGGACCTGATGGGCCTGCTCCAGTTCCAACCCATGCGAGATATCCATGGATTCTATGAGATATTTGAAATATGAAAATCGCATAGGATTCCTATAGTATCCGATAAGGTTAATATAAGACCCTGTAAGACTACTATAGGAATCCTATGAGATTATAAGTATCCTATTATACTGTATATGTTACTGTGTCGTTTTCGCACGAGCCACCATGACTTCCCTTGAACTCAGGTGGATGGGGAAAGCCAAATGACCCCATGGGAATATTTCCTGGCTTCTTCTTTGCTGCATGGTGCAGAAAAATGTTTCGCGGTCGCACTAGTGTAACTTCCAAATTTCAGAAGGCGGAGATCAAGTGAATTTTTTCCTGATGGTATGCAAGCTGATTCGCATGCATCTTAACGAGTGGCTGGTAAACGTGCAGCAAATCGGAGGAAACGAAGCGCTTTGTTGTCGTAGAAATGTGCATCATGATCTTTAGAGACTACCACCGTCATGTGTAAATAGGCTACAGGTCTCATTTGACCTGTGATTGCCCTTGGCACTTGATCGCATTAATGGAGCATGGTGTCAACAAAGGCGAGGAAAAATAAGCCAATTTGATCCCAGAACCGAAGTAATGCAATGCTTAGCGCGCTGATGTGATATGTGGAAGCACATCTCACCTGTTATTCCACATGGCGCCCCAGCACGGCAATGCTTCATGGTGTCCAAAAAAAAAGAAAGGAATATCCCATTTTCTATTGATAGTTGTAGTTTGCAAGCAAAATTCTACGCCGAACCCTCCTTCTAACCCTTGCGAACGTGTTTTCCACTTCAATCTGCTACAGAACTCTCTCCGAGTTGGCGCACAGATTCGAGACCGAAGCACGGGAAAAGAACTGCGGTGAGCGATGCTCCCGTACTCTGACGAGTCCTGCCCTAACTTAAGTCTCTTCCTCTGCCTTAAAGATGGCGGACGAGAAAGAAACTCCGATTTTCCTTGGAAGTTGCTCCCTTTTGACTTTCGAAACTGAAGCCTATCTGCCTATCCTAACATTTATTTCGCAAAGGCACATCCTCAGATGAAGGGCATGACATATGTGAAAACCCCAAGTTGATATATCAAAGCGTTCGGCTCCCTAACACACACACACATTTAATGCTCGCCCTAGCTGGAGGTCTCGATCGCGCATGCTGCACGCTTAACAATGAGAGTGAACGTGCATGGGGAATTTATTTTTCTTATTTGTCATGAAGCCATGGAACTTCTTCAGTATTTGAGCGCAATAATGTTCGTTCCGTTTTTTTAAATCTACAGTAATGTATATGGACGATCGTGACAGACTGACTGACTGACTGACGCTGATTCTAACCATGTTCTAGAAAGGTTAGAAATCTGAAACTTGGTACACATGTACCTACTGGGATGCAGAGTTCAGAAAACATCCGACTTTGGAGGTACATGACCTGGGTGTAAAAGTTTTGGGAGGAAACATAATTTTTCTTAAATATATTTTGTGACAGATGAGGATGGGATTCAGAGAGTCAACTGGATGGGCTGGATTCGGAGGTGTAGTAGTAGCGTGTCTGGCAATCAGAAGGTTCGGGTTCAATTCCCACACATTTCTTGGCTTTCTTTAGGCTTTTTCTGCCTTCCATGTCCCGTTACTCAGTCCCCCTCCATAACAATATTTTTGCTTGAGTACAACTGAGGAACATGGAAAGCTGAAACCTGGCATGGTGGAGCATATCGAGGGGATGAGTTCAGGAAAAATATAAAATTTTAGTTCCACGACCTGCGGGAGCATATTTTTACGGGCCGACGTTTTCACGCAATCTTTTTTTCCCTGGCGTATTGAGCTGGTGTGGAAATATGAAACTTGGTACAGAAATGCCTATTGGGATGCTGGGTACAGAAAAATTCAGACTTTGGAAGTAAATGTCCTGGGGGCACAAATTTCAAAGGAAGATGTTTTCAAATAATTTCTTGCATCAGTTAAACTGATGAACATGGAAAGCTGAAACTTTGCATGAACGTGAGTACTGAGACAAGGAATTAAAGGAAAATGTTAAGTCTCGATACATCCCCTGGGGAATCTTTTCGAAGGCCGATGTTTAAAAAAAATTTGTCATGGCGAATTGAACAGAAATGGAAAGGTGAAATTCGGCACACGTATAAGTGACATGATATTATTAAGTTGAGGGAGTATTTAGCCTTCACGGTGCATCCCCTCCGGGCATAGCTTTTGAGTGTGTCGGCTTTTCCAAGCATGTTTTTTTACCAGCGAAACGGGCAAAGGAATAATATTGGAACTTTTTGGGCATGTAGTTCACTGAGGATGGATTTCGGTTTAAAAAAAAATATTTTCTGTTAAAACGGCTCATGGAAAATATTTTCCAAAAGGCGTACTTTCCGAAATTTTCTGATCCAGCAAAACAGAGCGTGCTTGAAAGTTTAAACCGGGGAAAGAAGTACCTAATGGATAGCTGAGTAAAGGAAAAACTATACTTTTATTATATATGGACGACTGTGAGTAGCTAATTGACGTAAGTAGCTATTCGCATGCTGAGTTCAGGAAAAATTATACTTTGCTGATATATGCACATCTTTCGGGGAACATATTTTCAAATAGTTCTCTTTGCTTTAAACGGAGACACATGGAAAGCTGAAACTTGGCAAGAACCTGACCGTTGACGCACTGAGCTCAAATGTGAAACGTCAAATTTCCAATATATTTTTGTAGTTCATATATCTTGAGCAACTAACGGGTTAAAATAATTTTTCATCTCTTACCGAATCTGGCAGAAACAGAAAAGTAGCTGGCGCACGCAT